ATCCAGAGACTCTGCAACTCCCAGCATGCAATATCAGTTAGGTATTGGTACTTTCCAGATGAAGAACAAATCCATCTACTGCAGTGCCTATGGAATGTAACTTGTGTATAAGATACACTTAAGATGACCTTTGGGGTCAAATGTGTTTAAAGCAACTACAAAAGGTCGTGCATGCAGGGCGTACTTAAAAAAAAAAAATGTGTAAGTGCCAGACGGTGGTGGTGCATGCCTTTAATCCCAGCACTCGGGAGGTAGAGCCAGGTGGATCTCTGGGAGTTCGAGGCCATCCTGGTCTACAGAGCAAGATCCAGGACAGGCACCAAAACTACACAGAGAAACCCTGTCTCGAAAAACCAAATAAATAAATAAATTAATTAATTAATTAAATACATAAGCAGCCAATGGTGTGAATTCACAGGATGTCTGGTTTGTCGATTAACACACTGCACAGCAGAAGAGAGTCTTAGAAGGAAATTGTACTGTTCAATGTACACACGTGCGTCTCAGCCATGAGGGCGGGGCATGCTCCTTGAAGAACCAGAGACTTGTGGTTTTCCTTACTTCTTTCTCTTCGTGTTTCTCTACTTAACACCTTACATTTACAATTTCAATATTTTAGGTTTCACAATGTTGAGCACAGCCATTTTATTTCAAATGGCTTTTCTTTCTCTCCCTAAACTAAACAGAAAAAATATATACATTATATGGTTTTGCTGGATTAGCAAGAGAAAAGGATTTCGAGTATTACAACAATGAAAATTTTAGAAAATTTCATAATTGATGGAAATCATTAAAATTAATTAACATCATTCTTAAGCAATGCTTTGATGAGTGATATGTTGCCCTCAGGAGTACACAGTGCGGGGGAGGGGCCATCCTGCCAGCGAGGGCACTTGTAAACCCCAAACCTTTATTTTAAGCAACATGTAATATAAATTCTTTCAAGGCTGAACTTCTTTTTTAAGAATACTATAAAATATGTCAACACAATGAGATCCAGTAGATAAAAAATCATTTACTACAGACCCTTATGTTAAATACATTCAAAGTGTGATGCATTTATGAACTGATGGACATCCAAATGCATATTGGAATCATAGGCTAACTGGAGAATTACCCAGAATGATGGCATTGGAGTGTAACTGTATGATGATCCAGTATAGACAGCTGCTGTCCATTCTCTGCAAAAGCCAGGCATATGGAATGAAAGCCTGAAAAAATAAACAAGTGGAAACTCAACTCATGAGCACAGATCAGATGATTTAAAAGAAGGAATTACTCTTTTTTGCTAAAATTAAATAATATATAATTCTTTAAAAATCTGAAATTATACTGTTTGTATTAATTTCCCAAGGACACTGCAATGCATTGTCACAAACTTGTGGATTAACAACATATTTCTTCTCTTACAATTCTGGAACCTCTGAGAGAATTCTTTTCCTTGTACTTTTCAGGTTCTAGATTCTCGACTCCTCAAGCCTGGCTCTTTTTCTCTATCTTCAAAGCATCTCCATCTAGCCTCTGCATCCGTCACCATGTGGCCTTCTCGAGACTCTCTACAGCCAAATGCATCTCAGCCTCTCTTTCTTAAAAGGCACTTTTTACTGCATTTGGGTCCCATCCAGAAAATGCAGAACCATTCTTACACACTTTTGCCACATGAGGAAATATTCACAAGTTCCAGAGATTAAAATGGTTATCTTTGGGGCCAATATTGTTTACCAGAGAAAAAAAATTAATTTGTATACCCTAGTAGTTACATAGTAAATTCTTTCTTGATCAGCCACATTGAATGGACGGAATAGCTTTCTCAGGATGCTTACCCATCATTATCTTCTACGAAGGTTTGTTGCTTACAGTATCTATGCGATCTCCCAGGCCAAGCTAGACACACTGGGCAACATAGTAGTAAGGTTGTGAGTTCCTTTCAAAAATAGGTACAAACCTCACAATTTTTTTTCTTTATTAAGACATTTTTTATTCATTTTACATACCAACCACAGATCCCCCTCTCATCCTTCCTCCCACTGCCCCCCAGCCTTCCCCCCCAACCCACTCCCACACCCCCTTCTGAAAATGTAAGGCCTCCCATGGGGAGTCAGCAAAGCCTGGTACTTTCAGCTGAGGCACAAAAACGGTTGACGGCAGCATTTAAAATCCACCAGAAGTGAACTGAGAAACAGATTGGCTAGGTTTCCTAAGAGGTACACATCAGGTAACTTACCTATGTAAAGTATCACTTCATTGGCACGTCTTGCTTTTTCATTGTGCTATGTCATCCCAAAGCATGTATGTTAAATGCTGACAACCCTTTGTTAAGTACATGTGGTTTAGGTGTCACAACAATAGCTTTCAGCATCCCCTTGATAGTGATGGGCCAGGCTGGTACTTTCCTAGATCACAGAAAGTTAGTAAGAGAATCCACATCCTGAAATGTAAAGCAAAACTCCCCTCCCTACACAAGCATTTGAAGTCATTCTCCTGAGAAACATCAAGTTCATGCATCACGCCTAAAGAGCTGAAGAAGTTGAAGAGCAACTGTCCCTGCCATGGAGATACAGATCTCAAATATGCAGCAATTGGTCACTGAGGTGCTCAGAGCAGTCTGGAGTTCCTCAGATCTCCATAGGACATGTCATTAAATCTCCTCCTCCTGCTGCGTCTGACTTCTGGGAGAGAAGCATATGGTATAAATATTACTGCACTTGGTGATGAATACTAATGATCGCTCAGGAGGCCCATACTGGGTTCCTATGGCCGTTACCATTCAGTTGCTTATAAATGTGACATGCTTCGATTTAATTTAATAATCTTTTTTTAGTTTACAGCTCAGAATTCTCTGTGCATAATCTGTCTGTAAGAGCATATACAGATACACAATTTTGCGTTTTCCCATTAATACTGTGAAATTAAAGTAAGCAGACTAAGGCCTGTACAGGACATATTTTACAAAAGCACTCACTCCTCTTAATCTGCTAGGATCTGAAAGCAGACTACACACACACACACACACACACACACACACACACACACACACACAGAGACACATGGGTTACATAATGTAGCAAAGCCCTCCTAGTGTGAGGACTGAAAGTTTAGTGAGAACATGTAAACTACAAGCCTGTATGTCAACATCTGTACAGAACACCTTCATTGCTGCAGAAATGGCTAAGGAAGTATCTTGAAATGTGAAGAAATTAATCTACAGTCTTCATGAAAACCACGGCGCGTTCTGTGTTCTGTATGCAAGCTGAATTTCACAGGTAACTTTATTCAGAGCACATTGAGAGTTCCAAAATAAAATAAAAAACAAATTAAATAAAAAGAATTAAGAGCAATTTGGTTAAAAATTGAATTTTACTCCTCATATAAAGCTTTCTAGAGTTGTATACAAAGCTCATTACCCTGGCCCAGTGTTTTAAGAAAGAGTATGACACAAAATGACAGCAAATGATGCTGTGTCGCATAAGGCAGCACACATCACGGGCTGATCTGGATGGCACAATACACAGTAGCATACAGATTTTATTCCCCAAGGCCAAATGTCACGAAACACAATACAGGCTTCACAATACAAACTGTTACTTTCTAACGTATCCATAATGAAAAATTCTATCACGAAAGATAATATCAAATACAGATTTTATAGCAAAATTCTTTGTCAAAAACTACAGTTCTCATTAGAAGTTAATGTCACTGGGGAGTTAAATGGTGAATACAAAAACAAACGCACATTACAAGTATTCTTTTGTTCTTCACTTACCATGATGCAAACTGTAAGGAGTTAACCTTTAAGGGTTAAAGAGTTTAATCAATGTCAATGCCTGATCTTCTGACGGCGATAAAGAACAGTCTGTCTAGCGGTACCCAACAGAACATCACTTTGTCAAGCCACAGAGCGCCCAAAAGCTTGTCAAGTAAGTTACCAGAAACCTCTTTGTGGTTAGGACTCAGCTCCTTCCTGCTTGACCTATTATTTGATATTTGACCACTTGGTTGCAAGACACTTGCTCTTTCTAGCTGAAATGTCACTGGGGCATCTTGTCAGCTCCCCGACATCTCGGCCTGACATACAATTTTACTTTTGTGTGCTACAAGGCAGAAAATGCAGGGCAATGGCCTTGTTTTAAATTCTGTCAGCATCAAAGACGGTCGTCACTCTTGGGTCTTACCAACAACAAAAACAAAAAAAGGAGTCTATTCTGAAGGTCAAAATGGCCGTTACCTTGAAGTTTTTCAGCTTATACTAAATATATCACCTGCTACGCTGGTGTGGGAACTGTCCTTATAAAGTGCCTGAGCAGTCCATGGAAGCCCTCCCAGCAGAGCTGCTCTGCCTTCTCATCAAACACAGACTTGATAAAAGGACAAGGTTTTCAGTGCCTACAGGGACCAGATTCAGCAGTTAACTTAACTTGTTCAAATGGGCAAGTGGTATCATGTAGCTTTACAAGGCGCAACCTGACCTTCTCACATTGACCAGGAGTGACATTATTGTGCAGGAGGAGAAGCACTCACATCATTTCTGTTTTGCACAACCTGCTTAAAGTTTGCAACTAAATGCTTGTCTTCAGTCGAGCTGACAGGAGAGAAGAGGGGCTCAGTGAACCATGGCAGGGCTGCCATGAAATGACAGGAATCATTGGCATACATTTCAAATAGCTCTCTCAATCCTATTAAAGTATTGCAGTCTTGCTTTAAAATAGACAAGTATGAAACAACTTTGATAGATAGAGACTAAAATGGCTTATTGATTTTTTTAAGTCCGAGGGAAATTACCCAAAATGAGTCATTCTTTAACATTTAAAAATATGTTACATAAAAATGAGCAACTGTGATAATAAATAAAACTTAGAGAGGAAAAGTGGGTTATTTCATTACTTAAGGAGACAGAGATCTCTGTACACATCAAGATATTACACAATTTTCAAAAGCCCACCCTCACTTGCATTAAACAAAACTCAAGAAAATCCCCCTTCAAAACAATTTTAATTGTATCATTAACTCGTCCTCCACTTTTTTATTTCATAGAGTCATAATCCAATCTGAGATGGTCTTTTGGCATTAGCAGGGATCACTGGAGAGGACTGGGATGACGTCAGAGAATGGGGTGCTGTATTTATGAATGTCTCCTTTAAAAAAGTGTAAGTTGTATCAAGTTCCGCTTGCAGAGGAAGGAAGTCCCCAACTGTATTCCCAGGGAGAACAGGTCTTGAAGGGATGGAGACATTGGAATGGTCTCGGGATCCTGTCTGTGGGAAGAAAGAAGCACAATGAATTTTAAACCCTTAAATAGAATCTACAAACATAAATGAGGAAGTGGGTTGGTAATGCTTGAGGTGTAGGATGGAGCTTGCCATTAAGTAATCTACAGGAAACTTTATGGATGCAATTTTCCAACTGTAACTGAATCAACTCATCCTACTATATGCAGCAAGCTTTCTTGTTGGATTATCTTTGACAACACAGAGAGTTATTATTTATTATGCAAGTTTGACCTTAGCTTAGGCTTATCCCCAACTAGCTCAAATTAACCTGTTACTATTAATCTACATTCTGCCATATGGCTCAGTTACCTCTGTTCTGTACTGTATGTCCAACTTCTTCAGAGTCTTGCTCGCATCTCCTGCCTCTCTCTTCCCAGAAGCCTCTATGTTCCCGGAAGTCCCACCTAACTTCTTCCTGCCTAGCTATTGGCCATTCAGCTCTTTATTAAACCAATCACAGCAATATATCTTCACACAATGTACACATATCCACAACACCCTATGTCATAGGTGTTTCAGGATGACGGGGGAACAAAGAAGTCAACACAACTAGGCAGTTTCCAGTTTAGCTCCAATTCTTTGGCCATATGCAGAAACAAGCCCTGGTTGAATTTGTTCCATTAGTTTACAATGTGCTGTAATGACTGTTCAGGAAATGATCTATGGTGCTCATTTCTAAATTACTTTCAATGATTTAATTTGCAAGTTTAACACAAAGAAAAATAAGCGAAGCCCAGTGATGTCTAGAAAATAATACACTATGAATAAAGTCTAGTGAGAACTTGGGTTATACTTTCATTAACAAAGCAAGTACCTGTTTTGATGAAGATTATTTTAATTATCTGGGAATCATTTATAAACATAGAGATTATACTGTAAAATCAATTTCTCATATGTAAATATATAAAACACTGGTAGAATCCAAAATCAAAATTCAAAACTGCCCCATACTCATAAAATACTTAAAAACAAAATTAACATTTGGTAAAGCTATGATTTAAGGCTTAAGAAACAAAATACCATTAAATAGTAGTTAATAATTAATGTGAATGAAGTCTTAGTCATGAAGAAAATACTATTTTAAAACATCTACACATATATGAAAATAATGATCAATTTTTTATCAGAAATTTCCAGATTCTCAGCAAATGAATGTTGGTGAGATAACAAGGCCACTTATGAGCGCCCACTAAACACATTCCAGTTTACTGAGTTTTAAACACCTCTTTTTCTTGGATTCTCTTTAAGTTTTGATAATAAAATAAGATGAAGTTTAAGGGTCTGCTTCACTGTGTCTTGTTATACAAAACCATCCCTACATGTGGAGACAAGGAGGAAACCACTGCTAGCATTAGGAGCATATTAGAAATTCTACTGCTGTAGTGTTACCATTTTTGTAGATTTTTTTAAAGTACAACTGGAGAAAATCAATGCCTGCATCTAACACCTAGTTCAGCAATTTTCTTTGATCTCTGTTCTTTTGATTTCTTGATACTCTACTGCAAGCAGATAGCTGATGGAAATCGCCTCTTTTTTTTTGCTGGAAGTTAAAAAAAATCACCTACAGTGGCCACTCAGTTATCTCCATGAAGCACAGGGTCTACTGGATCCCATGGAAGGAACACCCAAAGGCAAGTGTCAGTCCTGGTTATTGTGGCTAAGGGCTCCCTCAGAGCTGTCATTCTGGTCCTGGGCACCTCACTTCAGAACCTGAGCAGAGGCAGCGGGTGTACCACAGGCAGAGGGTGTACCACAGACAGAGGGTGTACCACAGGCAGAGGGTGTACCACAGGCAGAGGGTGTACCACAGACAGAGGGTG